CCTTTCTACTGTCAAGATCGAGTTTAAAAGTAATACATTTTTTGACCACTTTTCCAAGGATCCTATTTTAGGTCTAGACCATTTCATGTTCTCTATATCCTATTCCAATAGATTAAATATCTTTTTAAATGACGGCTTGATAGTCTCAGAACTAAATGCCAAACCATCTGCATCATTTGGATATGGATTCTGACCAACAATTACCACAGAGATATCAAACGAAGACGTCTTAAAACATCGGAATCTGAGATTTCTTTGTGGGAGTACATCGATACCTCTACCTTCGATAGAGGCAATTTGTCTTTTGATGTTTAGATAATATTCACTAACCAATTCATCTTTTAATAGATATAACCAATCTTTATGCATCTGTGCAAATTCATCTCTAAGGAGAAACTTTCTATCATCATTTAGATTATCCCATATACTTTTTACTTTTTCTTTATTAGAAAGTTTACTAATGATAAAAAATCTTTCGAGAGTATTACTCTGTCGTGTGAGAGTTTTGTTATCAGTTTTTGCTTTTTTATTAGAGATTTTTTCATTAGTTTTTCTAGTACGTTTAACCATGACTGGTTAACTATTAACATAATGTTTGCTATATAAATACCTGCTTTAGTGTAACACTAAATGCAATATAAATATACTAAATATTTGTATCTATATTTGCCATTATATTCCCACCATGAATAAATCATGACGTGTGGTAAGACAGTAAAGAAATCTATTTAATCATTCTAGTAATAAAGATGGTGGTACTTTAGAGTTCACTTATATAGCCACTAATGACAATCTCGTAACTGGGGAGACATTTGAATGAGTTATCCATGAAAAATTCAAAAATCTATCAATGTTTAAAATTTGTTTTCCATGCACTCTGTATCTACTTTCCGGTGGAGAACTGCTATTTTCCAATGGTGATTATGATTCTTGGACTATATGAATAGGGAATATGAAGCTCGAAGGGGGTAAAAAAATTGAAACTATGATGGAAGAAGATTATGAATATGTACAATCCGAACCAGATATCAACAGACCATTCCAGGTTGCACGTGTTGGAAAATGAAATCTTACAGGTGATGGAGGATGTGACATGTTCGTGTTTCTTTCTTTTAACAAAAAAGAGGGAGGGTTTCTAGTTTCTATTCAGATTAAATACCGATCAACAGAAAATCTACAAATATATGATCCCAAAATGAATCACGAGGGTGGTTCCAAGACATTAAATCATTATTTACGTGATTTCGATGAATTATTATCCCGTATGATCCTCGATGAAAATGAGAATTCTTTTACAATACGCTATGGAATTTTTATTGTCAATGACAAAGTTCATATCCCTGAACGGTATTCTAGTATCACGAATATTATTATGGTAATCAATGAATCAGAGATTACTAATGATAATATAAAAGATTTCTTTAACCAAATCAGAACACATAATCATAATATTTCCCAGGGTAAACAAACCCAATTCTATGGTAGTGGAAAAACCATACTCAACAAGACTGACAGGGCAATGATAGCAGCACATACAGATACTATTGAAACTATTTTTAAAAATTTAAGTAACGAAACCTGGGCGAATGAAAAGAAAAGATTAACTAAGATGGTGTTGGATATCATCAGAGAGACAAGAATATGCACAGCAATCACAGAGTCGGATAGGAAAGGACCAAGATATGAAAGTGACTGTATAAATACAAACATATGTATTACTTCAATGATAATGAGTGTAAGTATAAAGAAAAACGTGGAATTAAAAATGATCAAAATAGCGATGCATTTAATATGAATGGGTTAAAAGAGACTATAGATAAAATTTCAGAAGAAAATTTTGATATATTAGAATTAATAAAATCATTATAAAATAAAT